TAAGGAACTGGTATCCCTCATTCTCGGTAAACATTAGTTCAACGTCCTCCAGGTTGCTAGACATTGACGTACTAAATTTCGTTATGATTGGCTTTGCGTAACATATTGTGTCCTTATAGAAGGTTCCGTTGGCCATGGAAAATATATCCGAAGCTAACAGTTCTGCAGTAATTTTTCTAGTGACGCTTAATCTTTTAGTGTTATGCATAGTAGAATTTATAAAGTCCCATGGCAATCCTTGAATGCACCAGGTTTCCCACTCCAGTTTCCGCTGATGAATCACAGCAATAAAATTTTTTTGGTTCATAGGTATCTCCGAAGAACACGCCATATCCGAACCAGGGTTTCGAAACACCATTCGCAGGAAACAGATTTCAAAATTTTGACCGGGTATGGCTTCTATTAAAACGGTGTGGTAGATCACCGGGCGATGAAAATAGTAGAATGGGTCAAGTACCTCAAACTTTGGTCTGTCTAGCACTAAAATAATAATTACGTTTATATTTGACATTAATCTCCTTGGATTCGGGTAAGGTTTCGTGAAATCCCTGAAAAGAGCATAATGGTTCGAGGCAATATTCATCCAAGTCATAATAGGATAATAGATGTCTTGACCCTTTTGAGAAACAAATAAGATGAAGCTCAGCCGACATTGAGATACTCTGGAATTTAGAGTATCTAAAGAGGGTGGGTTCGTAGGATAGTCAAAGTCAGGTGTGAAGATTGTGGTGGTTACAAGGTTTACATTGTTGAAAGAAAGTTGACTGTGGTAATCTCCTGAATGAATCATTTGTAAGTCACAATCACTAATATTCATGAGCAAATCGGTTAAGCTAAACACGGAGATTGGTTTAACAAAGTTGCTGAACCGGGCCAAAATAAAGCGCAAAAATAAAACGTAAAGTTCAAATTTCCTACCCCACATTTTATTCCACTCGTGAGATTGATTTCGCTATGGTCCTTAAATATAATATGAAGGAACGCCACTTTTTTAAGCTGTGTATAATTGAAATTGGCTAAATTGGATATGATATGGAATAAAAAAATGAATCTACTGAACTAAGTTTCGACACAGTTAATTCGAGGGTCAAACTGCGCTAGTTAATCGCTTTATCCCTTCACCATTATATTCACCTCGGAGGGCGATGAAGTGACGTAAAATTCACGAATAATCGAGCCTCACCTAGAAGGTGAGAAATGGATCGTAATTTTACGGTCACCTGAGCCCGAGCGAGGTCACTTAGGATGGATTATGGCTCACAAGTTTTCAGAAATTGTTAGACACCAAAGTTAATTTTTACGAAATAATTACACTAAATGAGTAACCTATTCTCTAACCTGACAAATGGTTAAAGTGGCCTGTTCTTTCAATTCATATTATGGAACTTCAAATAAGTACTTATGCAGAATAGTTCAACCGTTCAAATTAAATCTTCATATTTCTATACCTCCATGACAACTAGACGGTAGACGAGTGAGAAACTTTTGAAGCACAGTGTGCATGCATTAAATTAATGAACAAAATATCGCGTGTTGAAATAATTGATATTCAACGTGTTTATGGAACTTACATTGGGATAATTTATCAAAGTGTTCTGTCCTAAATTAAATATTAATGCATCTTTACAAAAGTAATACTCTAATTCAGTCCCGGTTAGATTTTTTTATTTCATCAAGCAGAAATAGGAAACGAAAATAGGAAATGCTCGTCTTGATGGTAGCATTTCTGGGCACTTCCCCAACAATTTTTCCCAAACCCCATTTGGATAAACTTCTATAGACGTCCACAGAACTCAGAATATGAATGTTAGATTTGCTAACGAAAGAAGAACCTATCCAACTGATCAGATTTTGAATTGCTTCATTAACCAATTATGCGCGACCGGTTTCGCTATTATTTTAGCAGTAGAGTTTAGAGTTCAGCAGGCTAAAATGCGTAAAGAATTACAGTAATTGAATAATTATAACTAAATTGCAATTTGAATTAAAAGCAATTTGCAATTGAGAATAAAATATTACCGCATTGGTCTTTGGGAAATTTTGTGATTTTTTTGTTAATCGATTATATGTTTTCTACTTGTCTTTCACAATACAGCTGACAGTTTGTTTGTCAATTATTTACAGTATTTTGGTAGACAATTTTTCTTTTGGAAAAAATAACGAAATGTATATTAGATAATATCTAATATCAAGTCATACTCAATACAGAAATATCTTATTATGATATTTCTGTATTGAGTATTGAGTATGACTTGAGCTTTCCTTTTCTAGTTGCACAAAATCAGTCAGTAAATTTCCTATTCCATACATCTTCTTGTCGTAATGTATAACGCGCTATGTTTTGTGATATGGGACTGGGTTACAAAAAGGGACCGTGTTATATTTACATAAATGTTTGGACTAGTTTGTGCATCAATTACTGTCTGACTAAATTTGTCTTTGGAGTGAAGATGACCTTTGTTGGAATCAAGTTTATTTTCGAGTTGAGTTAATGAAAAGATTACATTACTTGACTTGTCGAGCTCGTCAAATTATTCAAACATTATCGATTTTGACAACACAACTAAATAATTCAACCAGGTGAGTTTGTTTAATAAGAAATATTTATATACATATGTATGTATGCGTGGTGAATATTTCAAGGCATTTGTTAAGATGCCTCGATCCAAAAATCACGCAAGGAAATGTTTCGATTTATCACTGACGAAGCTTGCTACAACGAAACCAATTTAATTAAGTGAACTAAATTTTCAAACTTGTTCCAACGTTTGGAAAATAAAACAATACAGAGTTTATGCTTACCCATATACCAGAGGAGTTATATGCGAGGGGTGGGTCTTCGAATACCTACCATCATAAAACCTGATGATAGTTTCTTTTCACATTATTTCGACATTGAGGAATTTCTTTTATAGATTTGGCATAAGCAAGGTCCTTTTGTGTATTAAAATCCTCCTCCGTAGCGAAGATAGACTTATCTGTAAACATAAGATAAGTTCAACTTTTTTCGCGTACCGCGAATAACTTTGCAGTTTTTGACTCTACTTTTTCTGAATAATCCTCACCTTATTTCCGGTACCACAATTCAAAACCTACAAGCGTGGGGTCATTCTGAGTGCTATTCGGATCCTTTCTGTTGAAACCTACATTTGTTAGATGTGTCTTGCCCGGCTCCGGCTTAAATCTCTTAAGTATTTGAGTTTTTGCGTTTTCAGTATTGCAGGGGTAATCTTGAGATTAAAAAAATTTCTATGCGCTTTCTTGATAACCTAATGTATATACTATCATTTTTCAAATTGGTTGTCTTCAGAAATTTGCAGCCGTTCTGGATATATGACCTCTTGAAGGCGCCAGAAATCGGTGTAGCGGAATTTTCAGTTTTAGGCTATAACACTTTTTGCAAGCATTTTTGTTCAGCCCGTCCGTAATGAAATATTCTTGTACTATATTATCATGATCTTTAAAATTAAACGACTAAAACAAATTAGTCTTAGCCGAATATCCACTCCAATTGCGAGTAGTCCTTCCTATCGAAATCGGGAAGAATTCCTCACTATATTTAATAACAGGAATTCATATAAGAATTTACACTGAAGTCGTTCCGAATTTGATAAAAGAATTTAAGAATTTGAATCTAGTCCATCCTGAGATTAGCTTAATATTGAATTTACATAAATTAAAATATTTACCGAATTCGATATGAGAATAGTAAAGAAATCTGAGAGAATTCGCGTTCTCTGTTTTTACGCGACTTTCACTGGGAATTCTCTAAACGAATTCATAGCGATCTCTGCCTGTCTGTAGTTATCTGGGGAGGAACTTTTCACACTGAGTACAAGCTGGGCTGTGATATCAGCCTTTCCCTAGCAATGGTTCAGTTTTTCACAAGGTGAATTTTTTAGCGAGAAGATTCCCACATTTTATACAAATATGTATTGATTTTTATTCTCTCCCTTTTAGTGGAAGATCATAAAGGATTGCTCACAATTTTATATGGGATGCAAATTGTTCAAAATATATACATACATTCATACATACATATACATAATTGTAAAAATGTAGGTACCGTAAATACTCTATTTATAGCCGGGTCTAAAGACGGGACATATCCGACTACAATTTCAAACCGGGTATAATTAGAGTTCCGGGTAAATTATTTTTCGGTTATGCATAACTTGAAGCATCTAATAACAGACATTAAACGAATGCCATAATTAAAGACAAGCTTATTAAATTTTTCAAACTTGGGCTCAAGACCCGGCTATAAATAGAGTATTTACGGTATGCATTTATTTACATTCGACCAAAGAAACAAAGGTACGACAATCAAATTAAATTTATGCAAACTTGACGTTAACAAAGTAGCAAGTTCATTCATTTTGTGCGTACTCACGTCAATCTTAGCACATCTTGCAATTTGAGCACAGCAACATAACTTGCCAAGTTTTGTGGAATTTTCTTAATTTCACAAAAACTTTTGCTGAAAAACTAGTCTATTTTTTCGCAACGAATTTCGAATTTGGCACGTTCTTATTTCGCGAGATTATTTGGCAAACTGGTTTTCAGCACATCGAGCATAAGATATTATAAGTAGAATAGGGATCCATGGAAACCTTGCCAAAACAAATGTTTTACTAGTCATATTTTGCTAATCCCGTCACCACCCATTTTTTATCTTTTTGCTAAATTTAGCTAATTAGTTGCTACGCGGAATAAGACGTTGTTGTGAGTAAACTCTTAGAAATGGGGTTACGATTATAACCAAAAACTAAATATGACTCTACCGCCTTGGCTATGAATTTTTCACCAACTGGTAATAAATTTATTAGCTCTGGCTACTATTGAACACCAAGTCGGTGAAATTTCATAATTAGTCGGTGACAATTGTAACCACTCGATGGCAAATTTATAACCTCAGCGGTGGAGTTACATATGTCTACTTTTTGGTTATAACTGTAACCCCATTTCTAAGAGTGTACATATGCACGATCAAATTGAATTTCCTGCTATTTTTCATTCGTATGCAATCTACAAATGTGGCTGTTCATATCTTTAAAATCGAAGAATTTCTTGGCACAAAAATAGCACTGGAATTTTTTGACCCCTTCGTGCACCCGTTTCACGTGGGAATTGAAGTTATTCCTGTATTTCGTTTCGAACCCGCAGATATCGCAGGAGTAACTTGGCCTCTGCATCGTGGAGTGCTGCAGATCCAGGTGGGTCTTCAATTGGCGACGGGTCGTGAGTCTCTTGTCGCAAATGTGGCACTGATTTTGGGTCTTCCGATTTTCGTGGTAGTTTTTCATATGAGTCGATAAGTTGGCACGGAAGGTGAATGACGAAGGGCATAAGTGACACTGGAATACTTGTCGGGCCGATTTCTCCACATGTGTTGTCTGCCCGAGATTAAAGTTATTTAGCAAGCCAACAAGTTTACAATGATGCAATCTTCTATCAAGCTAAATTAATGTACCGAGATTTTATAGAGTTTGATGTAAAAAAATCGAGCCAAAAGTTAGAAATCACGTGGCACTAATGTTTTCATTGAATGGCCTATTTTAAGAAAAATATTGGTGTCCAAAAAAGGAGGAAAAAGTGAAGGAAAACTTCCTAAAAATTGAAACTTTCCCCCAATAATTACTTTTTTCGTGAAATAGGACATTCAACCGGAAGATACATAAGTGGCACGAAGGGGCATAACTTGTATATGTTTTAGCTTGCTTTTTGACGTGTAAGTAGCTACACAATCCATGTGTAGCTGTATAGTACTAGTGCATAAGCCCGTCTCCCGCCGAGCGAAAGCTTATTTGATTTTCGTGGAAATTAAGTTGGATTGTTCATAATTCCAGCGAATAATTTTTGGAATTAAATTTTAGCGACTCTTAAATATAGGTAAACTGTCTCATAAATAATATTCGAGTTGCCTACATGGAAAACGTCTCTTAATACAAAAAAAATGTCTCATTAGTATTTACATTTGTCTCATAATTGGATAATTTTTTCTAAACGATTTATCTTTTTCCTTCTCTTGAAGTGCCATATACCATGCCTGATTGCAAGCCAATCACACGGTACACACAAAATACTCACGGTTTGTTCTGTGGTATTACTGGTTTTCCTCTTATTTTTATGTTTTAATGAAATTTAATTTAATTTAATAATAAACTTAATAATAAAATAATTGAATTTAATTAAAATGACGTCCCAAGTACTTCGGTTTGAACTCATAGGGTTCAAAAGCTGACAACTCATAGGGTTTTTTATCAAACTTTTTTAGAGTTAGTTATAAATTTATATGAGACCAGTAAAATAATATTAGGAGACCTTTTCATGTAGACATTTCAAATAGTTTTTATGAGACGTTTCATCGATATTTATGAGACGCGTTAATTGCATGCCATAATTTTTTACTATATAATTAGCTAGAAATGCCTGTTGGCGAGGGAAGTGAAACTTTCTTCATCATACTAAATTTGATTGAAATCCAAACTTTTCGCAAAGATGTATATCTTTTCATGGTAAATAAATACGAATCTTTAAGTCCGAGAAATCCGGATTCGTCTCTAAATGAAATCCGGGTTTCGAAGTATTCGAAATCCGAAAAATCGGGATTTTTCGAATTCGGAGTATCTGGATTTGTCAGCCCTAAATGGCTTATAGTAGAATCAACATGCAGCCCAAGATGCGCCGGTTTGCTGCCTTTACCTGATGATGGTTGAGTCCACCTTCCTGTGTGAAACTCCTCCCAGATGTTTCACACTTGTAACTTCTTTCCTTCGTATGCGTAGCAATGTGGAACTGAAGGCTTTGTTGAGTTTTGAGCTGCTTGTGGCAAAGTGTGCACGTGAATCGAACCTGGTCCTGGGAATGTTCCGCTTTAAAATGTGCGGAAAGGTTAGATTTTCCCAGAAATGTTTTCCCACACCCGACAACTGAGCAGGGATGTCGGGGTCTTTCTCTTTGCGTGGTGTGAATCCTGTTCATATGTAGGCGGAGATATTGTTTGCTGCGAAATTCGCGAGTGCAAATTGTACAAATTTGTGTCGGTTTGTCGCTGTGAATACGGCGGAGGTGTTCAGCCAGGGCGACGTGATGTTTTAAAGTTACAAAGCAAATCTGTGGAAAATGTTGGGGAATTTTAATTAACTAGCGGATAAGCCCATGTCCCGCCGGGCGTGGGGGGATTATAACTTGGAAGTGTAATGTGTTTGTCACACACTTAGAAATGGGGTTACGATTATAACCAAGAAGTGAACGTGTATTTATGACTCTACCTCCGTGGTTATGAATTTGTCACTAACTGGTTATACATTTATTAACTCTATTGACAATTTAATACCAAGTTGGTGAAACTTCAACTCGGTGACAATTGTAACCCTCAATGACAAATTTATAACCACGGCGGTTGAGTCACATAAGTTTACTTTTTGGTTATAATCGTAACCCAATTTCTAAGAGTGCAACAAAGGAAATGAAAGCAAATTTTCTACTGCAAGGTAACCCTGCAAGACAATTCCAGTCGGGTATTTAATACCTTTAATTTACCGCATTTTGGCTTTAGGCGCCATGTGAACCTTGACTTTCTTTATTTTTACTTTCATTTTCTTTCACTTCCGCTGACGACAAACATTTTTAGCTTATAATGTAGATTCTTGATTTGCTGGAATATTTATGCACATCACCTACCTCACACTTTACGTGACCATTTGTGTGACGATATGCTCGTCCAAAGCGCGCTGACGGTTGAAAGTCTTGAAACACTGGGGGCATTCTTTATCTTTATTTGGCCTGGATGCCATTATATTATTTTATGACCTTTGTTAAGTAGCGAGGAAAAATTAAATAATCTCGAATTACTTAATTGCAGATTTTTTATACATTCATAAATAGGTAGATATTTTTGCACAAATCAATATTAAATATTCAAGAACATTTTTTACTTCTAAATTCTTCTTAAAATAAGTGGTTCAATTGGCTGGGAAGACGGTGCTTTCTTATGCTTTTCAGCTCGGGGTAGAAAATAAGACTGAAAAAACGTCACCTGATTACTTCTTCTACCTCGAAAAGGGTACTTCTATGAATCGTGATACCTTTTCCAAAACTGGACTGGTAACTCAGCAGGGGATATGACCCTTTCTACAAACATAAAAAGGTAATATTTCTGATTTTGTCTTCCCCTGTCGCCTGTCGCACGGAACCTTATTAACCATAAGCATAACCATATGCATATTTCCATAAATAATTCAGCAAGAAATGGATACAGGACTGGGATGGGTGTGAAATGTATTCTATTCTATGTACATGCATACATAGAATATACATGTACACTGGTACTTAATTTAACTATATTTACAATATCATTACAATTTACTATTTATAGCTTATCAATACTAAATTTCCGTTCGAATTTAAAAGTTACAAAATGTTTACCCCCCTTTTTTGAAGAAAAAACCCCTCTTATTTGTTTAAATTAAAGAGTTGCTGTATTTTTTCCGCATAGTTTTTAAGCTCCAATATTGAAAAGTTGTAAATAGTAAATAAATTATGATATTGTAAATATACATGGTTAAATTAGATGCCAGTCTCATCGGTGAGTAAGTGGTTTGAGATTGCAGTGAGATGAATGAGAAGCGGGTAGTGAAACGGTACCTGCGCTTCTAAAAGCATGGCGAAATGACCGCTCGGCGCGTCACTAAAATCGTCACCGTTTGACCAAATGTCATTTTGACACGGAAATTTTGTCACATCATAGGACTAGTATTAAAAACTGCGTCCAATGTATATAGTGGATATGGTGGGAGCTCCGGGCACTATAAAAGGTTCCCTCGTTAGCAACATAATTAGCAACATAAAAAAGTTTCCTTAGCAACGTCAAAAAATTTTCCTAGCAGCGTCAAAAAAATTGCTTAGAAACGTCCAAAAAAATGCTTAGCAACGAAAAAACAATTTCCTTAGCAACGCCAAAAAAATTGCTTAGCAATGAAAAAACAATTTCCTTAGCAACGCCAAAAAAAATTGCTTAGCAACGAAAAAACAATTTCCTTAGCAACGCCAAAAGAAATTGCTTAGCAATACGAAAAAAAATCATTAGCAACGTCAAAAAAATTGCGTAGCAACATAAAAAATTTTCCTTAGCAAGGTCAAAAAAATTGCTTAGCAACATAAACAAATTTCCTTAGCAAGGTCAAAAAAATTGCTTAGCAACATAAAAAAATTGCCTTAGCAACGTCAAAAAAATTGCTTAGCAACATAAAAAAATTTCCTTAGCAACGTCAAAAAAATTGCTTAGCAGCATAAAAAAATTTCCTTAGCAACATAAAAAAATTTCCTTAGCAACGTCAAAAAAATTGCTCACCAACATAAAAAAATTTCCTTAGCAACGTCAAAAAAATTGCTTAGCAGCATAAAAAAATTGCTCACCAACATAAAAAAATTTCCTTAGCAACGTTAAAAAAATTGCTTAGCAGCATAAAAAAAATTGCTTAGCAACGTAAAAAAGTTTCCTTAGCAACGTAAGAAAAAATCCGTGGCAGAATAAAAAAAATCCTTAGCAACGTTCAAAAATTTAATGCGGCCCGTCTTTAGGACGGGCTTATAGGCTAGTACGATATAAAAACAAAATAATCCGGCACGTGATACTATGAAGTAATTTAGTGCGTCCAAAAGAAGGTTACCCGACACAAAACACCGTAAAGTTGTCGGCAAATAAATTGGACATGATGGATAAGCTGGATTTATGAAGGTAAGGAAAACTTACCCAACCAAACTGGAGGCAAAGTGAATATAAATAGGAGTTTACGGTTAGAATAAAATCAGTTCAGTAATGCATAGTTGGAAATATTTTTAAGTTACAAGTTGCATTTTCCATTTTTTTTGCAAAAAAAACTACACACTAAAAGTTAAATTATGGAAAGGTTTTATTTCCTTGTTTGGTGCATATGTAAGTAAGATGCTACATTTTTAACCTATACACCTATTTACATTTTGTTGGGAAATATATAAAATAAAATGCATCAAATAAATTAATAAATTATGTATGTATCTATTCGTGTGTATGTAAGTAAATGCATGTACATACTTAATTAGCAAGCAATAATTACGTAATACATAAACTTGCAGGGATACCGGACAAGGCTGTTTTGAAATGTGGGAAGAATTGATTTTCGTACTCAATGAATAATTAAATAATTGTTTACTGATCGTAAAAATTCTGAAGTTAGAGAGCACAACCTTATAAATTTTAGGATATATAAACCGTACAATTGTATGATGGTGGATTAAAAATGCAATACAAAAAAATCGCTAGAGCTAAATTAACTTAAAAATAAAATATGCCAAAGTTAAGTTTTAAGTATTATTGAAAAACGTGTACAACTTTGACTTAAAGACGGAAGGATATTTTTACAACTATGTAGTATTTCACACAGACGTTAAAATTTTCATGACGGGTGACCTCAGAAAGAAGAAAAGTGGAATAAAAACAAGCTAATGGGCACGAATTGAAGTTCATTATGTATGAAATTTATATAAGTTACGTATCTATATTATAAGCTGGAAATCTTTGTCTGTAACGGAAGTGAAAGTAATTTTCCGTGACGGAAGCGGAAGTGGAAAGAGTTTCACTTCCCTTGCCAACAGATTTTTTAATTGATAATATGGACACAATAAAAAAATCGGTGGAATTATGAACATTCCCTTCATCAAAATCAAATAAGCCGGTCGCCCGGTGGGAAACGGGCTTATACGCTGGTTTCTAATAATATATTTTTAGCGTGTACATAAATTATTTGATTTTATATATTTAAATTCAATAAATATAGGAAATTCAATTTGCAATTATCATAACTGTATCAAGGTTGTCAGTTTTGTTGGATTTCTTAGCTTCCATCTTCACCTTCATTTCAACTCGGAAGCAACCCACGAGCCAAATTGCGTAGAAACTGGACAAAGTTATGACGACTTCTTCTTCAGGAATGCAGAGATTTTTACCTTCGTTAATATGTACGAAAATCATGAATCCAAAATAGGCAGCGAAGAAGGCTACCATAGCTATCCAACAGGCTGTGACGATCTCGAAGTTGGCCTGAAATTAAAGTTTAAAATCGATTTTTCCGAGTCTCATGAAAATGTTTCTATTTTATTTTTAACTCAAAATACAGTCGACCCTCAAACCAATAAATTTCTATCTATCACATCTAACAATGGAGGTCTCCCAACGTATGCTCACAGATTTGGACGAAACTAGTGTCAATCGATCACAAATATAATTAGTATGAAATTTGCAAATGGAACTATCTGCCAATGCGCAGGTTTGGCGGAGATATTTGCATCCAAAGCAGAAAAAATGCGCAGGAAATTTGGAAAGGGAAAAATATGCCAGCCTTTTTTGTACGTTTTCTCCTCTTTTTATGCAAATATCTCCGCTAAACCTGCGCATTGGCAGATAGTTCCATTTGCAAATTTCATACTAATTATATTTGTGATCGATTGACACTAGTTTCGTCCAAATCTGTTAGCATACGTTGGGAGACCTCCATTGTCAGTAAGATATGTAAGGGATTACCTATTTCGTCTCAAAATGGTAAATTCTCAATTTGAGATTGGCAGTGGTGTGGTTTCTCAGAATTCTTAGTTTCTGCAAAAAGTTCAATCCTGCATGGCTTTAGAGTATGTAAGTGGAGACTTGGAGAAATTATCATTCTGACACGAAATCAAATATTTACAATTTCACCTGGTGTATTCCAGCCAAAAGCCTGAGATGGATTAAGGCCAGGATCGCAGCGACGACAAATCCAAAGATGACGAGACCCTCTGAGATGGTCGAGACTAAAAAAAACAGAACGTTGGTGGAGGAATATTTACTTTGAGTAAGAATTTTGCATATTTACATAAATGCCAACCAGTGTTTTTCTCCTTCGCAATAACGATCGAATTGAGATGTGGGTGACGTTCGCCAAAAAGATAGTAGTACGACGTCGCCAGCATAATACAGGAGAAGAAAATCTGAAAAAGATTTAACGAGTTGCGTATTTAGAAAGTATCTAAGTTTTATTTTCAGACTCCGGAAATGTGTGTAGTTTAAAGTTTTTCAGGAACAACCGACTCAATTGAAAATTTTGGTTCTTTTTAATGCGTGCGTCACACGGTCAAAAAAGTGTTCTCAAATATTTTACATATTTCAAGGTTTTAATATATTTAAATATATTTTCGGCAATTTGACCAAAAATGTGGATTTTTAGACAAATATAAATATGTTTTAGAACTATTTCGGCGATTTTTCCAAAAATATATATGTATGTGCGTAAAAATATATATATATAAATATTTATTTTACAAGAACCTTAGAAATTCAAAAATACATAAATAATTTAGATCATCGTGACACCAGAGCATGTGGAAATGTTGCTAATTTGTCAATTTGAAATGTAAAAGTTTTTCCCATTTTTTACAGTTAAATAAATTAAATGTGACGCAATTTAAAACAATTTAAAAAATCTCCTATGTACATACATATTTTGGCGATTTGATTAAATATTTCAAGAACTTTTAAGGATTTTAAGAAAATTTTTAACCATACACTTTTAATCATGTTTTGGAAATGTTACAATTTTTGATTGAAAAAATAAATCGTGATTTTCCCCCTGCAGCCGTCTTGACCTCCTCCACGGGGGGATGGGGGACGGATAATAATTGAGCTTGGGACATTTTGGTAGATTTTTTGCGTCGAAAAAACGATTTCTGCTTGAATTTCCTAAAAGTTTGAGGTGAATATTCCGAAGGAGTTGATGCCGTAACTCGAGCAAGGTTTGGACAGAACCAAATGAGAATTTTTAGCTTGGTTTTGACTTTGTTAGATAGCTAAATTTTAAACACGGAAGGGATTTGATACATATGTCTACGTGGCAGGATTGACGTGGTTGCTTGTTCTACCGATATTTACTTAATATTTAAGATTAACTCTGCACACTTTACTCAAGTACTTACAGTCCTGCATTTGTTAAAAACTTTGATAATAAAAATTTGGTATTGAGTAAGGTTGAGATTGCGCTGCCATTAAATGGTCTGGACGGTTACAAGATAAGATTGTTTAATTACTAGTTTGTCTCTTTTCGGGTGCCCAGTTTTAGGGACTGTGCACAAAGGATGAGATCGTGTCGAGTAGGGTTAAGGGCCAATGCATCCTTCCATGTTAATTATATAGATAGATATAATGGGGCATCTATATATATGTACACACCGTGTGGGGTAGGGGTCAAAATTCCTCGAAAGCTTTGTGTACGGTCCGTCAGCTTGAAAACATTTCCAATTTTTTTACTCAACAATTGTCCTCTCGTGGAAGTAGGCAATTTCCACTGCTGAACATGAATTTGGAAATGTGAAATACGAGAGCATGCATGATAGAAAAAGGCAATAAATATGAGGAAATTAGATATAAATAAGAGTTTTTATAGCATTCCTAACACTGGGGATGCACACATATATAAGAATCCACACAAAAATCACATAAAAGCCACATAAAAATGATACGAAATTGAATAATGTAAACGCCAAAATAAAAATAAGCAAATAATATAATAATTCGGCTCATTCGGCTAACATGTACATACTCCATGTGATGAACTCACGAGATAAGAATGTTTAATTACCAAGTTTGTTTTGTCTCTATTTTGGTGCATAGCTTCAGGGACTGTGCAGAAAGGATGTGATCGTTTCCAGCGGGGCTAAGGCATCCCATCCTATTCGCATGTATAGTATGAAATGGGTCGTGCACGGTAGGGGGCAGGGGTCCAAATTCCGCAAAAATCGATCACAACCTTTGTGTACGGCCCCTTAGTTTGAAAACATTTCTAAGAATTCTTACCCAGCTTTGCCTTCTGCATAATGAATGTAACTTTGGACCGAATAAAATTGGGATATTGTTAACACACGAATTTGATGCACTGATACATACAGTTAGGATTTTATACAAATAACCCGAATAAGTCGTCTCACATTCCCCTCAATGCAGAATTGAGTGATTTATTGAATAAGAGAAATAGTTCACATCTTCATACTCAACTAAAATCCTGGACAATTCACGCTTGCTAAACTAAAAGTGGTTGTCGTAATAATTAATAGTGGATTAATTAAAAGGCAACTAATTCTACATTATCATTATCGTCCATACTTTTAGGTGGGTCGTCTTTGCACAATTATTGCACAAAAATGGGTACCAATAGTCCAATGAGAATAGCATTGTATCATCTCACTTAATTTAGTCGTGTGGAGTCAAAGTTCCATAATTGAATAAAGATCGAGTGTGCGCAATAATGTGGATTGTGCAAAAACATAGGATGTTATATTATAAGATGGAATCTAGTTATCCACCAGGCTTAACTCTACATGCGTAATGAATTAAACGTTGTGTAAGTAAAATGACTCAGTCACTCATTGACGCAATGCTTGCGTTATTAGCACATAATCTCAACGTTCTCTCGCATGCATGTCTTAAAATAAGGAGTGAAATATCAGCCATTATTGGTTAAAGATGCATGCCGATTTCTGGGTCAAAACAATATTTATGAGTGACTAAATACAGGGTGGTTAAAATGTCACGCAACAATGGAAAATTTTTCGATGGGAAAAATCCACAAATTTCCATTAGTTACCAAAATTTTGCCTCTAAAATGCAACATTTTAAGAATTTTGTCATCAGTTTTGATAATAATTTATAAAAATCTTAATCCAAAATCTTGTAGCTAATGAAGATTTAGGGACTTTTCCCATTGAAAAATTTTCCATTGTGGCGTGACATTTTAACCACCCTGTATAAAATACGAGAGCATGAATTTCGGATGGGGCATGATTAGGGTTCTACATGTCATATTTGTCATGTCATATTTGTCCGTCTTAAATGTCAAATGTCATAAATGTCAGACATTTACCGATGGTGTCAATGTCAGACATTTATGACAAATTGACATATACAGAAAATTTCATAAATGTCATAAATGTCATGACATTTATGACATGTCAGTGGACATTTTCAGAGCCATCGAGTTCTTAATACTGACTCAACTTCCCCGCTTTATTCAATCTGTGCACATTTCAACTTTGATTCAACTTGACTTGATCGATGATGAAGAAATAACTTGTTAATTATTGTACACCGTTATAATTGATCTTCATGTATTACAAGGACAGATAAATTGGTAAGTTACTATTATATAATAGGATTTACTAAATCGCGTAAAGATTTTCGTAATCTTTAAATGGAAAATTCGGTTTGTGGCATCAAAGCAATATTATCTATTTAACCTTTTTATTTGTTTCAGATATATTTCAAGCGCCATGAAAACGGCAGATCGAATTTGGCTGGAGTGGAAGGTTGTAGGTGACAAGGCAACTTGCCGACACTGTAATCATAAAACAATAACAAAACATGCCACAAGGTGCAAGGAACATATGTCCACCTGTTCAAGTGCACCACCCGCATTTCGGCAGAAATACGTTGCAGATCTGACGGACTTGAAATTGCGACAAACTAGTCTAAGACCTGTAACGCTGGCAGTGCAGAAAATGGATGACTCGAATCAAGAGCTGGAGTTGGTCGAGGAAATCTGCGTCAATGCTGACGAGCTCTCGACTACAATTCCCAGTACTACAACGGCAAAACGACATCATTCGTCCTTCTCGCAATCAAGGCTTCTTTCAATTAACGCTATTTCGAAACTTAAGATGAAAGAACTGCAGACAATCCGGGTGAATGCCATGATAAATGGAAACATCCCATTCAACTGGCTACAAGATCCAGTTTTGAATAGTTTTTTTCAAAAACTGGGCTCAGGATTCGTCATGCCTTCTCCGCAACAGGCGTCTACATCAATTTTGAGCGCACTGAATAAAGACGCACTTACTTGTGTAAACGATGCTATTTCTAATAACCGGCACCTTTCAATCATTATTGACGGGTGGAAAAATTGTCGGGGAGTTCCAGTTATCAACATAATTTTGGCAAATCCCTCATCTTGTATTTTCTACAAGAGTTATGAACCAGGTGAGTACTTACACATGTTTATAAAATATACCACAAATTGTACGATTCGCCTTATATGCACGTATTTGACTATAATTTTATTTTGCACACATTCCAGGGGCCAATAGGGAGACTGGAGAGTATTTGGCTTCAGTAATTAAAGGAGTAATAGAAGAAGTACAGGCCACTCATGGACAAGGAAAAATTGTCGCGATTGTCACTGACCAAGGAAGCAACTTTGTGAGAGCACGACGCGTAATTTCTAATGAGGAAACTATTTTGTCCATCAATTGCGGTGCACATATGCCAAATCTGCTAGCTGAAGATATTTCAAAAATTCCTAGTATCAATCGTTTCCTTAAAAAGTCCACCAACGTTGTCAAAGAAATTAAGAAGTCCAAACTTAAACTTGCTCGATATTATGATGAATATCAGAAATGGATTGACGATGAAAGAGTAAAAGGAAATACGCCAAAATCTCGTGTCACTCTAACCCTTCCTTCGAAGTCAAGATGGTATGGAATCAGGGATATGTTTCATAAATTACTGAGAGCAAGACCTGTCCTAGAAAGACTATCTATCCTTCATGAGATTGACTTCACTTCCTCCACTCGAATGGCTTTAAAGGATGACTCTTTTTGGACTAAGCTCGAACACGTGGCTCCACTTTTTAGAGCAATTAGTGATGGTAGTTTTCATAAATATTTTATTGAAAACCAAGCTCTTTCTTAATCTTTCTTCATTTTGTAAACTATTTTTGCAGTTATTGCAATTACGGAAGGAAATTCGTGTACGTTGTCGGACGTGGTAGAAGAATTTGAAAAATTGCGGGGAATTTTTGAACAAAACGGGGACAATTCTGACATACTAAAAAATGCCACAAATATTTCTGAAATTAAAAAATGTCAAACAATATTTAAGAACAGGACTGATATCCACAAACTAACGAAAATTCACTACTTAGCTAACTTTTTGGATCCAAGGTATAGAGGTCAAAAATTTGTCGAAGACGAAGAAAAACTGTTGATGACACTTTCAGAACTTGAAGATTATGCGAAAAATATTGGAGTCATTCCAACTGAAGAAGCCAAGGAAGAACTCGGCCGTCAAATATCCAGTTATAGGAGGAAAGAAGGCATATTTGGAAATTCGATGCTTTTGCACAGAGTCCCTCATTTGTATTGGGATAATTTATTATCATTCCAATCTGCGAGTATCTTAGCTACTGTTGGTGTCAGGATTTTATCAATTCCCAGTGCAGGAGCTGAAAGAAGTTTCTCAATTCAAGGAAATGTACACACAAAAAATAGAAACCGATTATTAGACAACAACTGTAGAACAAATTATGAGAATCAAGTGGAATAATCAGCAGCGGTACCCAAAAAAACTGAAAAAAGCGGTAACAAGTCTCGTTATTGAGCCGCATCAGCAGGAAGATGTGGCGTCAGATTCCGAGTCCGATGACAATTCTGACATGGAAATAGCCGAACCTTACTCGGAAAGTGAACTAGATACCTAAATGCATTTTAGAATATGTTAAAAATATCCATGTTTGTTAAAAAATAAAACATGAATAGGAATATAATTGAAAGTATGAATCATTCTTAGCGCTGTATTATCTACGGAAATCATATCGTTTAAATTTAATCTGGAGGTTCTAAATGTCATAACTGACATGTCATAAATGTCATATTTGTCATATTTGTCAGACATTTATCAATAGTGTCAATGTCAGACATTTATGACAAATATGACACGACATGACAAATATGACATGACGCGACATTTATTTCTTGACACGGACATTGTAGAACCCTAGGCATGATAATAAATATGA